GTTTAATTACGCCTGTCTGAGAATTTATAGGTAGCAGTCTCTCAGGAAATCACCAATGCCTGTTTTCCTCTTTTACATGAATAACAGGATTGTAAGGAATTACAGGAGAATTTATATACCTCTTCAAGTAAGGACCCTTAGACCACAGCTTTGTGATCCTGGGGTTAGATTACTATGGGACACTTTAATGAAGGAGTTTCTAAGAAACTTATTACCTTTAAACATGTTACAACTACAGACAGCTCTTACAAATATCCAATTTAGGGTCTCTTAAACTTTTTTTTGTGGAGCAATGTTTTTCCCGATTTAGTCTAGACTAGTATCGTAAAAACATTCTTGTGCCTGCTTCCGTAATAATCATGTCTTTGAGCGCCGCAGATAACTTTAAAATAGAAGTCAAAAAATAAATTAATAAGCGATAAATTTTAGTATCATGTCTCATCTATGAAGTCATTAAATTACTAAATCTCGACGTCTGCTATTGGAAAAATTATAATAGAGTTTCATGTTACTTTTAACTTGTAACTAAAGATTTGTAAGGTTAGTTGTAAGGTCTGCAAACTCGCGTTTTGTTTTTGTGGGCAAAGCACTGGGGCAAGAAAGCAAAACTCAATGAATACTAAACTTACATATTAAAGTAGGATCCGGCATTTGGAGAAAGTTGATCCAATTCAACTAAACGGAACTCAAGATAAATTCCCATCGATTTGCAGCTTTAAACACGCGGCTATTCTGCCGGCCCATGCTAAAGAAAACTTAATTAAAATTCCGTCATTTTCTTGCATTACGATGTATTCAACAAAAACGTATTTAATACATATCATTTAGATTATGTGTATGAAAGTAACGTACTCCAATGTTTTAAGAAATATCACTATACACAACGCATTCACGAAAGTTTTCGCCGAAAGTTTCCAACCTAATCCAGTGTATTTTTGAGAAATAGTAACTATTTATATTGATTATTAACATATATCAGTGTATATATTGTAACATATATATATTTACTTTAAAATATCTGATCACGAAATTTTATCTTTACTTAGGTTTCTATTTTAATTTACCTATTTTAACACTGATTCAAAAGCTGAAAATCGGAAAGCAAGAAGAAAGTGCCCGAACATTTTAAACAAATACTACTAGTGACAAAAACTGGTATTTCACTTCTAACACGACGATTAATTAACAGTCACTTGCATGATTAAAATAACTTTGCGTTTAAGAACTTCCGATAAAGACCTGTTGATGAATTTTTTTATGAACCGTGGACAATTTGTATGGAATTTTAATTAAAAGGGAAATCAGGAGATTCCATGCAATCGACTCCACTTCTGAAAAGAAGTCATCGTGTTAAGTCAGAAAATATTATTTTTATTTGCTCTTTGAGAAGTACAATTATATTGCAAAGAAAAATGTGACTTTTTCTAATCCTTTCTCTGTTTGCCATATTTGGCATTTTTCGGACTGGTTTTACTCCCCAAAATAAGATCCTATGTTTAAGAAGTTTTGACAACATTTAGTAAGCTTCTACGAAAACATGCAGAAGTCTTAAAACATACCTAAATATATTCAGCCACAGAACGAACTACGTAGAAAGCTGGAAAATGACAAAGCTCTTTTCTTCAAATATCCTTTTTCTTAACTCACAAGTGTTATTATTCAACACTTTTGTTTTCGTAAAATTTTATAAACCCAAAATTTTACGCCAGAACGTATTATTAGCATTATTGTACGACAGCATGCTATTTATCTCTTCAAAATTCTACATTAAGATAACTGCTCATGTAAAAAAATTATCTACATTAAAAAAAGAAACTAATTGCATAAAAATGTCCAGGTAATTAAAACGTCTGCCAATAATAAGAAAAATGCTGAACGAATGATAACTTTAAATTTACTTGACTATGTGTAAGAATAAAGATTATATTTCAGAACTTTATCTTTTACAAATTAGCAGCATTATTGTGACATATTCACATTATAAAACTAAACCAAAATACAAATATAATATTAAAACTGTTTTGAAATTCTAAATATTTTTCTAACATAGCAATATTGTGATATATTAACATTATAAAACTAAACCAAAATACAAATATAATATTAAAACTGTTTGGAAATTCTAAATATTTTTCTAACATAAACATTAATACCCTTAATCTAACGACAGTTTTTAGTTTACTAATATGAAAGAGATTCATTCTCAGACTGATAGTTTGTAAACGTAATATTAACTGAGCAGTCAATCTCTGTTAAAGTAGCGGACAAATGAGTACAATCTTGAATTAATAATTAATCTTTGGGGTTGGATACTTGTGATTTAAGCATGGAAGTTTCTATATTTCCTCTATGTGTAATGTGATTACCAGATCATTTTTTCAAGAAAGATGTCAACAAATGCATTTTTTTCAAAACAGATACACAGTGCGTTACAGTAACAGATAACGTATCTTAACATTATGTTACATTACATTCAATGTTAAATGCACTTGAATCTGCTGTGGAATGAATGTAAAAGGCGAGGATGGTTCGTTCATTAGTTTGTTTAAGAAAGAGAAAACGCAGAAGATTATCTGCTTCAGAATAAGAATGCCTTGGAAGATTTTTTTAATGAAACCGGCTTCTGTGCATATTACACATACGGAGAAACCAGAAAATTAACCAATCCGTTCATCATGATATGGGCCCGGGTCGAACTACAAAGAAAGCCAACCAGAAACCGAGTTTAAGTCGCTCAACACTGGTATTTCCGTCCTTGGTTAGATTCCATGCGAACGGGTTGGCTGCATGGACGTTTTCGTGGTTCTCCCCATGCGTAACGTGTATACGAGACAGTTCCTTTAGAAAGTCCTCCACGAAGGTACCCCTTCGTTAAGGCAGATAGCCCTAGTGTGTTTTGCTGTAATCGAATAAACCAAACCAATCGAACTGTTAAGAGTTCAAGGTACTGGTGACCTTTGATGACAGGCACCACTAGTACCAATTGACTACTGGGGGGTGACGATTAAGTTTTAAACATTAGCTTACATGCAACGCTAAGAAACTTACCTACGATAGTTTAGAAATATGTCTGAAAAATGGTTAAACCATCATGATACTGCTAAATATTTTATATATAGAATCATACAATGAAATGCCAACCCAATGAAAACTATTTACTGTTAATATGGTATCTAAATGTTAACTTTAAGCTTTGTTTTATTGGAAGATATTAATTTTCTTTTACTGTAAGGATTATTTTTATTTATCTAACACAGTTAAACTTTGAGTTAAAGTCCTTTCCTATCGCTTCTTAATTTCAATTTACAACTTCCGACCAGAACTTTTTTTTTTAGAATCACGTTTGAATGCAAATTTAAGGAGTAGTATTTAACCTCGAAGTTCTACTGTCTTAGTTATTCTGGCTAGCACGCGTCCGCCGTTTTAGGCTACTCTCTCTTTTGCTATTATTACGCTCGGTCGTACTTTAGGTCGTTGATAGCTTCGCAGTAATTAGCGTTAAAGGGCCAACTCTGTTAGAAGTTTGATAGCTTCCGCTATATCTTTTTAGTTAAGATTAGTTTAGTTTAGTTCTTAGTCTCTTAAGTTCAATCCCCAGTGTCGGCTTTATTGTACAATTCCAAGACGGAGTTCCGTTACACCTTATTGGAATAATAAAAGGTTATCTCACCCTTTTTACTTCTTGTTTTCTATCCCACGAACTCGCTTACTAGTTTTTAAGATTCTTCCCGTTCAACTGTAACTTAAAAGTACACAGTACAGAATCTTACATTACAAAATATTAATTTTTGTAAAAATTAACATTTCGGAACGTTTTATTGCAAACAATATAACTGAAGATTATTTTTCCATAGTATCGATAATAGATTTTGGTAATATAATTGGATTTCTTATCAGTATAAAATTCGTTGATTTTACGAAAATAAGTTTAAATAAATTTAAGTCAAAGTTTAAATAAATTTAAAATATCTACTTTGTCGATTAATCTTTGCAGGCATGAATTGCTAAAAAGCTTTAAAGAAGAAAACATCTCATTAACGATAAGTTTTTCATATTGCCTAACTGTTTTACCAGTCCTAAACACCGGGATTTCTGCTTCGAAGTGCATAACTATTAAAACTTAGTTTAGAAGTATACTTGCGAACTTTGATAAAATTCGATTAATTACAGAGATGGGTTATATAAAGCAGTTTATAAATGTTGCTATGAATTACCTAACAGAACAAAGAAAACACAATACTACATGGACGAAAAAGTTAACATTCATGCCTTTTTACCAAAACAATTTCGTTGGAGTAGGGGTAAGCAGTTCATTCTAGTACGAAATAAAGTAGAGAGTTATTTGGGAATTCACTGTAAAATTGAAATATGAAGAATAAAGCATTTTTTTAATGCAAAACGTCCTAACTGTATCGATATCTGCGAAATTATGCAGGAAGAGCAAAATAGTAGTATAGTCGAGTCATAGCCAAATGCTGAGAGCAGTTCTAATAGTACAGACGTGATTGATGCTGATCATTAAAGCAAGCCGACAATGTCAGTCACAGAAAAAATTGTGTTGCAGGTTGATAAAGTGATTCTCAGCAGTTGCAGAATGACAGTCTTAGAAACAAATTCTACAGGAACTGATAATCTAAATGAACAAAAAACTGGTAATCATGGATAAGCACAAATAGCGATTCTAAGATGGCTCTATGACCTAGCAACAGATTTCTGTCGTGAGTTCTTATTACGTTTGTGGTATAAAATAACACTAAAATGATTTAGTAAACAGTTAAAAATGTGTTAAGAAGGATTAAGGGATTTTGTTGAAATGATGTATATTGTAGAACGGCATTGAATGTAATTCCTTTAACTTAAAATAATCGAGTGGATTTTAATTTTTGAATACCCTATGGAAACACTGCGTACGTAAAACACGCATAATTTAATTGTAGTTATTACACTTATAAACAAATGGCCAAAAATAGCATAAAATAAATTCATAATCACAATCTTACCTTCAGTGGCTTTGGAGGAGATGAAATTGGAGAAACACCTGAAAAGAGAAAAATGACTATGAAATGATATTAAAAGCTTCTTAAGCATTTCTGTGTGCTGAATTCATTATTATAACAGTCTGGATTTTGAAATATTTCCAAAAGTTCTATTTTCATTGATAAAACTGATTAATTAAAACATTAGTATAGCATTTAAATTATAAACACTATGTCGAAAACTATTTAAAGATATTTTTAGTACAGCAAAAATTTACAATTTCCTTTTTCTTTTGTGAAGAACTAAGAAATAACCTTAATATTTTCTCATAATATATTATTCACAATCACGTAACGCATACATTTTGAATATAGTTACTAACATATTTGCTACATGTCAGAAATTTATTAATTAGAATTTTAAGTGAAAAATAATTAACCGCCTAGCACTCTTTTTTTTATTCTTTGGTTGTTTTTCACCATTATCCGACACACTTCAGAAATATTATGTAAAATGGTATAAATATTAAAAATTTTAACATTTGAAACAATTGCATTAACATTTGAAAACGAAGATTGTTATTTGAATAAAATTATAAAAATAAATAGGTAGAGAAGATGGAAATCTACAAACAAAAATTCATCATTAACATAAGATTTTATTTTTGACGATAGTTCACATAAAAATAAATAAAAAATTCGTCATCGATTATCATATGTTATTTGAAACGTACTGTTTATTATCCTAATGGTGTGAAATAATTTTTGCTTCAAAATATTATTCAGAAATGCATAAAATGTCTTTTTAAAATGATTACTTCGTTTTGCCGATGAGACGTGTACTTTTATAATATGGAAGAGAAAGGTCTGAGGTCTCGTCGAATAATAACAGCATCTGATCTTCATTTGCAGTGGCGAAAAATATCAGCATCTTTTCGGAGCATTAATAATAAAATTTAGAGTTAATATTGATAAAAAAATCTGACGATTAAAAATTCTCATTTTCAGAGAACTGCTGTAAATTATTCAACAAATTTAAGGAAAATCTATGCAGTGAGCGATTTTTTCTCCCTGGAGCAAATTACAAAAAAAAAAAAAAAAAAAAAAACCCTATTTACAAGAAACCAATATTACATGATTGGTATGATTGTTAATACATTGTATGTCTCCCAGACAATGCAATACAGTCCGTACAACGCCTAGGCATGCTGAGTATCAAATTATCGATCTGATCTTGGGGGATATTACACCACTCAAAAAGCAATGCTCTCCGAAGTTCTGGTAGACATGTAGGAGGAGGTTGACGGGCTGCAACTCGTCGGTCATGCATGTCCCACACGTGCTCTACTGGATTCAAGTCCGGTGAGAATGCTGGCCAGTCCATACGGGTGATATCCTATGATTGAAGGCATTCGCTTAGGACGTTTGCACGGTGAGGACGTGCGTTGTCATCCATAAACACAAATTGTGCGCCCATGTCGCCCCGAAACAAACGTACATATTGTTACAGAATGACGTCCCGATAGATTTGGCTTGTCATGGTTCCAATTTTGAACATCCAGGTCAGTTCTGGAACCCAGAATAATTCCACCCCAAACGAGCACTCCTGCAACACCGTGACGGTGTCGTTCAATGATGCTTTCTTGTTGGTAACGGGTACCTGGAGCTCTCCATATGAAAGTCCGGAGAAAATCAGACTGCAAGCTAAACCTGGACTCGTCGGAAAACATCACACAAGCCCACTGTTGCGGTGTCCACAATGCATACTTTCTACTCCAGGCTAACCGCAGGCGACAGTGAGTTGCAGTAAGTGGAACGCATCTGACAGGTCTACGAGCATATAGACCAATCTGCCCTAAGCGTCTGTAAACGGTCTGCCTTGAAATTGTCGTACCAGTTTCTGAAGAGAGCTGACGAGACAGGTCTGAGGCTATGCTCCGCCTGTTTCTTTTGGCAGTAACTGCCAAATACCGGTCCTCATTCGGCGTTGTAACTCTGGGGCGACCTGTGCTGTAATGTCTACTCACATTACCATCATCTTGGAATCGTTGCCAAAGCCTGTAGATGACACTCTGGGCAATTCCAAGTTCGTCTGATACTTCCAGTTGGGTACGCCCACATTCCAGACGGCCGATAATTCTACCACGTAAAAAATCATCCAAATGCGTCCTTTGTGTCATAACTATTCGGTTATTGCACTGAAATCCTTATAAAGCGCCTGCAAACAATTTTACTTCTTTGCCTGTATTCCTTATATATCACTCTCTTACACTCTCGTCATTGTGACGTACCATCGGTGTCATCTGGTTACTTCCTGAAATTTGCATGATTCTTGAAGATATGTGTAGTGATTTTACAGGTGATATATTTATTTTAGAGTTCAAATTCCGCGTGACTCCGAATTATCCTTAATTTATGGACATGAGTGTATTTATGATTAAGTAGATCAACGTAATCTTTCATTGAGGATTTGGCTGCAAAGTTATTAAATATGATAGAAGTAACGAGTAACAATATGAAAGATTTGATTTGTAATAGAGAATCTGAATGCGTTGAACACTGGAAAATATAGGTAGTTCTTTTGCAGAACGTTTCAGCAGCACATTAAGCTAGATTCCGTAATGGTCACAATGCAATAATCGATGCGTTATTCAAAGAATGAGCAACACACACACACACAAAAAGAGTTTTAATTAAAAAAAAAGAAATGTGAAAGGTTTCAAATCTCTATTACGCCCATTTTTATTTACAGACACATCCGCGTTTCGAGAGCATTTGAGCTAAAGCCACATTGCGCTAAAATATTTAAAAACAACATGTATTTATAGTTTCTGATGTACATTCTCGCGCGCTGCAGGTAAAAATGTTTTATTCTCTACAGGGATGCTACTGCTTGTTTTGAAATTGTTAAAAGTTTTATTGAAAAATTAGTTAAAGTTTTACAAAATATGAAATAGACAATAAACAAATTCCAAATTCGGGCTTCGAGGTGCCCATGTTCGAGTGAAAGACTATGTTATTTAAAATTTGATGACTGTAGGTACCGTTGTTTTTTCGCAATGCGAGAAACACACTCATGTAGATTCTTCATTATTTACTTTCTTTAAATATAATCCAGGGCCATAATATTCGGTCGTAACAATTTGAAAAGCGATTCGGACATTTAAATTGATTTGACGCAAAATGCTGTTTCAAGACTAAGATCTCTTCTGGGCTAACGGCCATTTGGGCTAAAAAGAGTTATTTATCTTGATTTGAATAACAGTCCTCTCATTTATGAATTTACGAATTCGCTTCTATGCTAAATACGTTTCTTTGCCTTTTAGTATGAATTTCAATACGGTAGAGTTTGCCTGAAATAATATATAATAGACATTATAACAATATATAATATACATAAGACATTTCTTTATATAGCATATATTTATGCCCATACATTTACATTTTAATTAAAAATATTCTTTTTCTAGCTCTTTAAACCTTGTGCGAAAATCTAAATACATTTACATTTTGATTTACATTAAGTCATTTTTTCCCATATATTTACATTTTAATTAAAATAAATAAAAGAAAATCTTTCTGCTAGCTTCTAAGACTGTAGATCTTGCCTGCAAGGTTAAGAAATCAAATGCACAAAATTATGCCTAATAATAGAATTTTTGTGACGGTTCCTTTTAATTTAAGATTCAAAATGAATTGAAGACAATTCTTGAACTGACAAGCCAGGCTTAATTACCTGTCTCTGACGAATAGACATGATTACTGTAAAGCTTCATTCAGATAGATATTTTTATTGCCAGACATGCGTGACGAACACAAATGAAATAGACCACCAGAAAGGCAAAATTAAATCTTTCTTTCATTCTATAGGTCGAACGCGATAAAGTAAAGAAAAGAGACAAAAATAACATTGATAAGAACACTTAATCCTTTTAGTATTTTTTCACGACACATGTGTCACGATAACATGTAATCTAAGTCGGTGTGCCATCGGATGGTTTGAAATATTTCAAGAGAAAATTCAGGATTTCTTTTTAATTACATGGATATACTTCTGAATTCTTTTTACTCTGACTCCTATATCTTTCTGTAAGAAATTTATTTACGCGTATTAACTCTTACATCTAAGTGTTACAATAGCAAGAAAATAGGATGTCTAATTTCACAACAAATTTTCTGAGGAAGAACTTCAATAATCTAAAAATATATTAATTATTTCTATAAACTAATAATATTTTATTGAAATTAAGCTAATTATTATAGTCGTTGAATAATACATGTCATATGAAGTTTTAATTCAGGTAATCATTAACAAACGTTCCGTCGTTGATATTGCGAAAAATTATATGGGGGGGGGGGAGATAAAAGCGTAGAAAACACGGTGGCATTTTAGAGGCTTTAATTTTTAGCCGGGATTTAGATTTTAAACTGAAATGTGTCAGAGGTCTACAGTAGACTGGAATGATGAATAAAACATTAAAAAAATAAAATTGTAGTAAATAATGCAATAGATAATGTGCAATTAGAAAGAGTTAAAATACAAAAATTAATTTAAATATAAAATAAAATGTAGAAAAATAATAAATTATAGAATATTAAAAAATAAATGAATTATGAATGTCTTTAAAAATCCTCTTTTACAAAATAGTGTTTAGATAGATAATTTATAATAAGAGCTTCGAGTAAATAAATCTTCGAGGAGCAAAATATGCTTAGTTCATAGAATATTTTTTAAGAGTTTCTGGTTAACAATTTTCTGTTCACATTAACTAAGGACAAAATCGTAAAAGTAACTGTATATGGTTAGAAAAAAACTCCTACATTAATAAATTTTCCAGAGGTCAAAGTATTGCGCCACTAATATACCATAGGCCAGGGCTGTTTCTGATATAACGTTTTAAGAAAGAAAATAAGTGAAGTAAAATGAAAAAGGTAAAAGCAAAATTGAGTATTGTATTTCTTTTAAAAAATTTTAAATCATCGTTTCAAAAGTGCAGATCATGAAATACACAATAATAATAGTTTTAAATAGACATTCATCTTTGTCCCATATTTTCGAAAA